GGGGGGGCTACTTGCCCCAGACCCCACCAGCCCAGGGTTTGCCCCACTTACCCCACAGCCCCAGGCTGGGGTTTTTGAGGCAGGGCAGCTCCAGGGAGCTCTGGGGAAAATGAGGAGGGGGGGACGGGGGGGGGGCAGAGTCTTGACTTGACCCCGCACAGCACCTGCCTCAGCCCCCTCTTGCCCCCCTGTAACACACGGCCGAGGGGACGGCTGCAAAACTGAGAAAGCAAAGTCCCACCCTGCAGACCCTGTTCCCCTCCTGCCCCGGGTGTTCCCATCCTCCGGGGTGGGGACGGGGACTGGGACAGGGCCGTTGGGCAGGAGAAGGGCCCAGAGCTCCCCCCACCTCGCTTCGCGCCCCCCCAGTCCCCTCCCCAGAGCAGCCTCTCTCCTTCCTTCCTGTTAGGAAATTTACTGCGCAACCTTCCTGCAAATGAAGCCCAGGACCGCAATTTCCAGCCCCTGGGGGACCTGCCCGATGATTTCCTTCCTTTCCCTCGGGATATAAAAATGAAGCAGCAGACCTGGGCATGGAGGGCACCTGAATTTGCTGCTCTCCCCCTCCCCCCCAGCTCCGCTGCAGGACCCCCATCCCGCCGGCATCCATGTGGCTTCCCCAGCCGTGCTTGGGATGTGGAATACCAGAAATCCATGGGGAACAGGGCCACGGTACCCCGCTATCCACCCACCCCAGCAGCAGCCGATGGCAAACTTGGGTGGATATTGGGTTGTCCCCTCTGCAGATCCGTGGCCACAAACATCCCACCCACGCCAACATCACGCCGGGTGATCCCGGACATCTCGCCCATGTCACGGTTGCCGCCCTGGCAAAGCACGGGGACACGCTGCTGCAAAGCCCCGTCCCCGGTGCCACCGAGCAGAGCCCCCAGCCCACGGCCACGTCCCGAGGCTGAGGGAGGGCGATCGGTGCCGCATGGCCCCCCGAAACTGGGCAGATGGGGAGGGGGGAAGACGGAGCGATGGATGCCGGAGGGATGGGGAGCAGCTGGAAGGTGCGGGGGCTGCTCCAGGAGATCGATCCGGGCCCAGCGAAGGAAGGGAATTAGGGAGAAGGATGAGTTGGGTGAGACCGTAGTGAATTAATTAATCAGGGGGAAAAAAGACAAGTAATATTGATTTTCGGGGGGGGTGTGGGGGGTGAAATACGGACCTGACTGCTGGGCTGGCGGATTGCAAGCTGAGGGGGTGGCGGGAAGCATCGCGGGTGCTGGGGGGTCCATCCCCTTCACCGGGCCCGGGGCTGGAGAGAGAAGACCGACGCCTGGCAGAGCGCGATGCATCTTTATTTCGCTGCCTGCAGCTCCCGCAGAGGCGCTGCTGCCCGAGGGGTTTCCCTGCCTTCTGTCCACCCTTGGGGTGCCCCATGGGGCTCGTGGGGTGCCCCCAGCTCTCCAACCTCCCCGGAGAACCCTCGGGTTTACAAACGCGGTGGGATTTTCTGCCTCCGGCTGCCCAAACCTCGGCGCGTTGGGAGCGCTGGAGTTGCCAGCTTGGATTTCTTGCCAGGCGGTTCATCTCCGGGCGCCAGCTGTCGGCATGAGGGCTGGCTGGGCAAAGCCGAGCTCGCGTGGGTAAAGCTCTGCCTGAGAGCGGGGCCCGGGTCTGCGGGGGACGGGAAGGGGCCCCCTCCCACCCAGGGGTTTGCCCCCGGGCACAGGGCTGGGCACACGCAGTGGCACCGGGCTTTGCTGGGGGGTGGCAGAGCTCCTGCGGGGTTAAAAGCACCTGGGACTGGGGTCACGGGCATCGCGTGTGCGATGGCGTCGTGTGTGGGATGGAATCACGTGTGTGATGGAATCACGTGTGTGATGGCATCGTGTGTGGGATGGAATCACGTGTGTGATGGAATCACGTGTGTGATGGCATCGTGTGTGCGATGGAATTACATGTGCGATGGCATCGTGTGTGCGATGGAATCACGTGTGCGATGGCATCAGGTGTGCGATGGCATTGTGTGTGCGATGGCATCGTGTGTTGTGATGGAATCGTGTGATGGAATTGTGTGTGTGACAGAATCATGTGTGTGATAGAATCACATGTGTGATGGAATCATGTGAGTGATGGCATCATGCATGTGACAGAATCATGTGTGTGATGGAATCATGTGTGATGGCATCGTGTGTGTGATGGAATTGTGTCTGTGGTGGAATCGTGTATGTACAATGACATCATTTCTATGATGGTATCGTGTGTCTGATGGCATCACATGTGCGATACCATCACATGTGTGATGGGATCCCATGTGCAGTGGCATCATGTGTGTGATGACATCCCATGTCAGCCCATGTGAGATGGCATCTCATGTGTGATGACCTCCCTTGTGCGATGACATCCCATGTGTGATGACACCCCACGTGTGATGGCTTCACATGTGTGATGGCCTCTCGCATGTGATGGCATCCCGTGTCATCCCCTGTGCAATGGCAGTGCATGTGCGATGACATCCCACATGTGATGACACCCCATGTGCAATGGCCTCAAGCATGCGATGGCGTCCCGCGTCATCCCATGTGTGATGGCATCCTGTGTCATCCCACATGTGATGGCATCTCATGTCATCCCATGAGCGATGGCATCCCATGTCATCCCACATGTGATGGCATCCCATGTCAGCCCATGTGAGATGGCATCTCATGTGTGATGGCATCACATGTATGATGGCATCCCATGTGCAGTGACATTGTGTGTGTGATGACATCGTGTGCAATGGCATCCCATGTGGGATGACATCCCGTGTGTGATGGGATCACACGTGCAATGTCATCACATGTATGATGACATCCCATGAGAGATGGCATCATGTGTGTGATGGCATGGTGCGTGTGCGATGACATCCCATGTCACCCCATGTGAGATGGCATCCCATGTACGATGTCATCACACGTGTAATGGAATCATGTGTGAAATGGCATCCCATGTGCGATGACATCCCATGTGTGATGCCATCCCTTGTGTGATGGCATCCCATGTGTGATGACACCCCACGTGTGATGGCCTCACGTGTGTGATGGCCTCACATGTGTGATGGCCTCTCGCGTGCGATGGCATCCCGTGTCATCCCCTGTGCGATGGCAGTGCGTGTGTGATGACATACCACATGTGATGACACCCCGTGTGCAATGGCCTCAAGCGTGCGGTGGCGTCCCGTGTCATCCGATGTGCGATGGCGTCCCATGTCATCCCATGTGCGATGGTGTCCCGTGTCATCCCACATGTGATGGCATCCTGTGTCATCCCACATGCGACGGCATCCCATGTCATCCCATGTGTGATGGCGTCCCGTGTCATCCCACATGCGACGGCATCCTATCTATGATGTCCCCACGTGTGTGGTGACACCCCGTAGTGCGTAACACCCCCCGCCCCTCCCGGCGCCGCCAGCTCCTGCGCCCAGACCACTCCGCAAACACCCCGGGCGACATCTCGGCGCCCAGGACCAGGGTGGGGGGAGAAGGAGCCGGGACACCCCAAGAGCCAGGTGGGGGGGCCCTACCCTCAAGCGAGGCTGCAGGCGGGGTGACGGCGGAGCTGTCCCCGCTGTCCTAGGGCTCGGCGGTGGCAGCGGCGCGGGCGGCCGAGCTCTGCAGGCGCCGGCTCAGCTCAGCGTGGAGGCGGTGGGAGGCGGCGTCGAGGGTCTGGGCCAGGTGGCTAGTGAGCCGCAGCATGTGGGCTACCACGCGGACACCCATCCGCAGCCTGGGGGGGCAGAGGGGGGGCGGAGGGGAAAGCTCAGTGTCCCCACCAGCCTCCCCGCAGGGTGTGGCAGGTGACGCAGCAGCTCTGGGGGTGCTGGTGACAAGGGGTGTCCCCGACTCCTCCACTCCCACCCGAGAGCCACCATGCAGGTTGTGGGACCCTTGGGGACACCCCAACACCCCCCACCGCGGGTGTCTGCAGCAGGGGGGCGGGTACCTCCCCCCCGTGGATTTTGGCTCCACGGAGCCTCCTCTCCCCCTGGCACTCACTTCTCCTTCTTCTCGGCCACGTCGGGGCGATGGGCCTCGGCCCCGCGAGCCGCCAGCTCCCTGCGGACGCCGTCGAGGCGCTGCCGGAGCTCCAGGTTGGCCCCGCGGATGGCGGGAAGGGC